TCTGTGTTGTTTGATCTGGTGATGATATGATCTATGTTGATGAGGCAAGATTGGCATTTGGGTCTGTTCCAAGGCCTGCCCGTGCAAGAGTAGAAATTAGATTGTGTGATGCTGGAGAAATGCCGTTTTGGGTTGGGGGACTGTCTGGAAGTTAGGACAGGTTTGTCCACCCTAGGCACCTTGAGATGGTCGTCATTTTCCAAAAGGAATTGGAGGTGATTAATGATGTGTCCAAGGTGTTCAAGCTGGGGACTGTAGGAGGCAACCCAAGGGCTTCTCTTGCCCTTGTCTTGCTTTTGGTAATGTAGCAGGTCAAAGTGAGGTCTGAGTCTGGCTCTTTTGATTTGAACTTGCTGTGGTTTTAAAATTGTACTGCAGGTGCTTATGCATTTCTGACTCAATTTTTATATGGTAACCAAGAATCAGTTTCTAACAATTGTGAGTGGTCTGAAGGTACTTTAGGAGAAGAAACAAGGGCTGACTTTATTTGAATGTGTAACCTGTTGTTTGGAGCATAAAGGACTAACATTTCTATAATAGGCAGCCTTCTAGTTAGCTGTTAGTTTGAAGTCAAGTATAATGCAATGTAGGTTTTCACCTTATAGACTAACCAAACTGTGTATATATAGCATAAGCTTTTGTGACCTGAAGCTTAATTTGTCAGATCCTGATATTATAGGTCAGGAAACCTGGGAGATTGTATGTTTTACTTTGTCTAGTCACCCAGTATAATAGAAAAGTTACTGCTTTTTGTTTTTTGCTTGGAAACTAGATAGGTTTTTGCCTGCCTTCATTTTTAATATAGTATATTCTTGATCAAATGTAGATTTAAGTTGTATGAGCTTGTTGATAGTGAGCAAGATGAGCATGAATAACCAGCCCTCAGAAATGAGGTATCTGTGGTGTACATCCCCTACTCCCTTCATTTAATTATTTGGCACTCCCAAATATCCATTATCTCAACCCTGCAGCCTCAGATTACATGAAACTTTTACAGCTGTTATATTGCTTTGCAGATGGTTAAAGAATGGGTTTTTCCCCTTATTTTAGTCTTACTTTCCTGTGTGTATAGTTGTAGTTTCTGTAGCCTTACCTTGAGTAGGAAAATGATTGTTTAAATTGGACTTGGATTCCATAATGCACACCTGTTTCAACTTACCAATTTTCCCAGACATGTTTTTATTAGATCTTTTGTTTAAATAATTTTTAAGTTAATTTTAACATACATGTTGCAAATTCTTTGCTGCTTAAACATTTTTTAGTCCTAAAAAGGCTCATTAGTATTTGTTTCTTCAGTTCCTTCATTGTTTAGGATTTTTTTTCTGTTAACTTTTACACTTAATATTCATAGGTACTAACAAGTCTAGGACATTTTTAATATTATTTTAAGAATAATGCAGGTTCAGAAACAAAATGCATAAGCCAATAGCTCATAGTTATTTGACACCAGAGGAAAATATTGCTATATTGGATATCCAAACTTAAAGAAAACTGAATTTTTTTTAATAAATTGCCCATCAGAGTTAGCAATTTGAAGTTAATGGGGCTTGCTCTTAATTAAGTTAGTTGGTTTTGAACATCCTGTGCAAAGTGTCTAAATGTAGGCTTTGGAGCTAAAATTTAGGGGCCCTGTTTTTGAAAATTTCATGAAAAAGGATTGGGGAAGAACATACTGGTATACAAGTTTGATAGATTTTTTTATGAAATATTTTTCCTTTAAAAATAACCCTCTTTTACCCTGGATAGTTTGATAGACTTGGCATTAAATTTATTGCATCAGATTTTTTGCCATAATTTTGGTTATAGTTTACTTTAGGTACAGAGAGATTTCTTGTGGACCAAGTTTATTCGAAGTTGAGAAACTGGGAGTTGGAAAAAGGAATAAGAGCTAGACGTGAAGACAAAATCTACTAATTCTAAAAGCTTCAGCAATATTCCACCAGTTAATGAAGCGATGCAGCTAGGTGCCTAGTAGATTTTTTCATGTTGGGTCATCAAAATCCCTGGGAGTTGGGCCTGGTGTGCTTAGGCACCTTGGAAAATGGGAATCATTAGCTCTAAAAATATTTATGAACACTTCATCTGGTGTGATAAAAATATTAACTAAATTAAAAGAATGCATACTTTGCTTAAATTAGTTTTAAAATAAAAAATGTTTTGATATGTTTACATGTTTTATTTCAGTGTTAGTACATATTAGATGAGCTTACTTGCATACAACTGGAAAAAGTGTTTTTTGCACATGCTTCATTTAATGTGTCTATCTTGCAACTTGCTGTAGAAATTAAGGGCTCCTTTACACGTGCAGGGAGGCTGCTCCAGTGTGCTGTAATTCCAGGCTGAAACCTGGCAAAGAAGAATTTTCCCAACCATGTAGCTGGTCTAATAAAAGATGCCACATCTTCCCAAAGATTTTTATTCTACCAGTTTTTTATCCAGTGTTTGGAGTTTGTTGGGAGTTTTGAACCATTGCTTTAGAGGCTAGTTCATTTTTTAGTTTCAGTAATTCAGTGTTTTGGAGGAAAGTTATATTATGTTGGCTGTGGAGATTTGTACTTTTTTTGAAAATAAAGGGAATAATTGCCTTAGTTATGCTTAGCTATGATAGGATAGCATAGATGTAATACTTCTTTGCAAAGCTGTAAATAGAGGATTTTTGTTAGGGATTTTGTCACATTTGAAGCTTAATTGATGTGTTTATAGTCAGATCCAAAGCTTGATAAATGTACTTGATACCAACTAGCAGGAATAAAAGATGCATGTGGTACCACAGTCTTGCAGTTTAAATTGATATGGCAGTATGTGGACCTTACTTTAGTAAAAAGGGTACCTTGTAAGCCACTTGACTTACTATTTGCAATGGCTTTGATATACAGATACATCCCTCTAGCTAATTTGGCAATGAGTTGTTTGGAAAAGGACTGTGTAACTGCTCTAATATCATTTAGTGACGGTAATAATGACCTAGCATCATTTAACCAGCAAATACTTTCTGGGCCACTGTTTCAGAACATTTGCTGTAGTGCTTCTTGGCAACCCCTTGCCTAATCCTTGTAGGAAATTTAAAATTGCAAGTACCTTTTTTTGGTTCATTCCCAGTTTTCATTTCTGTACCATATGGGAGCATGATGCATCTTTTCCTGCTGTCCGTGTGTCTTCCCTGTGCAACCACCCTTTTATAAACTCCACTTTCTGTGCTCTACTTCCTTTATGTCTTCGTTTCTAGATAAATGTATCTTCGTTCCTACACAAATGTATTCTTTTCTGACTTGTTCCTCAGTTGCTTTCTTTCTGAGCCAAGTTACTGACCATATCTGTCCCTTACAGCAGTGGTACTTAACCTCCTTAGACTTGAGGCACCCTTCAGAAAAAGCCAGCTTTTAGCTTTCACTCTTTTGACTATTGGAAAAATAATAAAGCAATTATTCTGCAGAAAACTCAAAAAGACCACAACAGGTCAGTGTTGACACTATGAATTCCTATTTGAAATCTCTGGGTTTATCTTGTGAATCATGTGAAGGTGTTTGTACACCTAATAGTGCTAATACTGTGTACCACCTGGCCTTACAGGATTGCACAGTTTACTAGAGAGGCTGATAAGTATGTGCCTAAACAGTATCCTTGAGGCTGCTGTTATATGGGGATAAAATCCTAGTGAGGAGCCCTATTGCTGAAGATGCTGCGATTTTTTTTTTTATTTTTGTTCACAGATTTTTCTCTCTGGACTCTATTTAGAAACTCCATCATGTTTTCTTACATCCATCCAGTCCCTCTGGCTGTTGGAAGGTGGGGACAGAAAAAATAGAGAAAAATGATGCTTCTCTTGCTAAAACAATACCAGGAATCAGAAGATCTGTTTTCTGTTGCAGACAGACTTGTGAGACCTTGACCAAGTAACTTAAGCTTTCCTGCTTTGGTTTATCTACTCTCAAGTGAGTGTTAATCCATTAGGGAATGCATAGATGTAGCATTGCCCTTAGTATTCAGTCAAGCAGTAAAAACTGGCTAAGCAGTTTTCACTATGTTGCACTTTAGCAAAGCATTCAGCAGTCACAGGCAACTTTACTGAATAAAGTTGTCTGTGGACTTAGGCAGACAGCATTGCTTGAGTTTTAGTTGGTGATTGGAAAGCTATCTTTACCTTAAGGACTAAAAGGTTAATTTTGTAACATGAAAGCTTATTCTACAGAAGCCAGTTGTCCAGGCAATCTTGTTTTGCCATTGGTAGTGGCTTTTTCAAGCCATGGTTGGACTTTGCAATCAAAAACTCCGTATTCAGTGTAGCAGTAAAAACTGGCTAAGCAGTTTTCACTATGTTGCACTTAGGCACTTCCATACCGAATAGGGAAAAGGAAGGATTTTTCTAGGCAATTGGAGGCCTTTTTTATAGAACAGAATGCTTTCCATGCTTTTTTCCCCAAGGTGGGAATGTTTGTGAGGCCAGAATGGTTTTGGTTGCACTGTGTGCTTGTTAGTGTAACTTCTTGGCTACTAGGTCCTGAAATAAAAATCAAATGTAGCAAATATATAATAATTACTATTTTGTTATCGTATAGCAGTATCTTTGGAATTGGAGTAGTTTAATGCAAGTCAGTTTTATTAAATATGTAGGTAGAAAAATCTGTGGCATCATTGTAAAGTTGCAACATATACTTTATTCACATGGATAATATTCAGAAGAGCATATAGGCTGTGTAATATTGAGTCTAATACTGTTAGGAAAGAACTGGTAATGCTCGTGTTTAGTAGTTTATGCAAATGTTGAAGTCCCTTTTGCTTTATTTTTTGGCCATCATCAGTCTTTTAACATAAATAGCATGGAGTTAAACCTTGCAAATGTCATATTCTTTACTTGTGTCAGTCTTTTAGTAAAGGTTTGTATGCTAAACACAGCTTAAGTTTTTAGGAATTCCTTTTGGTTTGTTAATCCTCCCAGGGTGTTTGGTATCTGAAGTCAAAGTCAAGTGTGTAGGGTTACTGAGATGTTGTCATCACTGAGTGAATTGTTTTCACTGTTTGCTTTTAGAACAAATTCTGTACAACATAAAACAGGAGTACAAACGCATGCAGAAGAGGAGACACTTAGAAAATAGCTTCCAGCAGACAGATCCATGTTGTTCTACTGATGCACAGCCACATGCATTTCTTCTTACTGGACCAGCTTTGCCAGGTATTAAAGACAAGTCTGTGGACCTCCAGTGCATATTGCCCTTTCACTCAAGGTCCTTCCTTTGCCTGTAGTAAGCCCTGCCTAGTCTCCTGATGTTTACTGTAACCTTACTGCTCTGTGGTGTCTGTCTTGGGAGACAATACGTCAAGTGAAACATCACCTTGTTGAATGTAATTCTGCTTGAAAGATAAAGCAAAGCTGGAGTGACCTCTCCAGGGTGCAAAAGCATGGGAAATATATATGGAGATGCTGAGCTGCCTACACACCTGTGCTCCCCCTCAGCCTTGCTGGTTTAATACAAATTAAAGGCAATGTCAGTACTTTTGGAACCAGTTTGGCCACAGGAGATATTCATTTTTCCATCCGTTGGGGCTCTGCTCCTAGTCTGGTTGCCAACCAGGGTTAAAAAGCCCAGTTTACCCTATCGTGGAGTGGACTTCAGTTCCACACTTTTTTGGTGGTATTTCCAAGCCATTGTTAAATAAAACTCAGTGCATGGTAAACTGAATCGGTATAGGTTGCTTATTTTTAACCCTCTGTATAAAATTAATAACATTTGGAAGCATCCAAAAGTTGCAGCAGTGTTTTTCCTAATGTTTTGTTTGAAAAGTAAGAGTAAATGCCTTATAGCAAACTGCAAGAGGTTAGTTAAATTAACTCTGAATTACTTACAGGTACTTCATCTGCAGCATCATCACCATTGAAAAAAGAACAGCCCTTGTTTACTCTCAGACAAGTTGGAATGATATGTGAACGTTTGCTGAAAGAGCGTGAAGAGAAAATCCGTGAAGAGTATGAAGAAATCTTGACCACAAAACTTGCAGGTATGTTAAAATTTAAATATTGCTTGGGGGTAGGGAGAAAAGAGAAATGATGGGAAATGAGACATTTTCTCTAACTTCAGTGTTTTATGCTGTATGTAGCTGAGCTTATTCTGGCTAAGAATTGGTGTGTTGAACATGGCTCTGGACAGCAGAGTGATGTATAGTGTGTAGCAGAGTATCTGTTGTTTTTCCCTGTCACTGCTCTGGGAAAAAATTATAACACATGGGTATGTCTGCAACGTTGGCCAGTGGAAGCAGAGATTTTATTTCAGGTAGCTTTCCTGTGCTGGCCTATTTGAACAGACTACTTTTCTCCCCTTTTAGCTAGAAAATCCCTTTCCATTTGTAAAGGGTTTCTTCATTGGGGTGAACAACTTTCTCATTATTCTTTCTGGAAGTTTGGTATAAAAGGCAGGCTCCTTTAGCAGTAGAACAGCAGTTCTCAACTTTTGTTAGCCTCAAGACACCTGGGTCTTTGCACTTCTACAGAATTTAGAGTCATCCCAGCTGAGATCACTGAGCTAGAATCTAGTTTGTGCCAGGTGAGATGGAGGAAGAGCATGCCCTCATCCCACTGTGCCCTGCTTTTCCTACCATCTCCCCCTTCTTGACCTCTTGGTCTATAGCTGTTGGGGGAAACGGTGCATCTCCAAGTACTTGAATGCTGGCACCTGGAGCTGCAAGCTGTTTCTTCTGGCCCGTGGGGGGAGCTGGGTTCAAAACTGCAGCCGTACAACTGCCTGTCCACTCATGGGCTCAGCACAGCATGGTGCTAGGAGCCTGAGGAGCAGCCCTGGGCTGTGGGACCTTGAAGTGCTTGTTTCTGGGGGGATTGGGGTCTTCATCACTTACTTCCTGGTACAGTGACACCCTTGGAAGAATTGTACATCACCCAACTGGGAATCATTGCATTGGAGGTTTCCTTGACATTTGCCAGCGGTTTCCTATCCCAGACTGGCAACAATATATAGCAACCGCTTGTAATTCCCTTTTCCACTGGTTTGACTGTCTTCCCTCTTTATTAGGCAGTGGATATGTTCCAGCTGGTTCAGCAAAGTGACTTTTGCACCTGGCGCCAACCTGCCGCCTCAAGGGTTATGTTAATATTCTTGCAAGGCAGCATTCTGTTTGGTTGGTAACTTGGCTGGGTTGACACTATGGCATCAGAGCAGTTTCTGAACAGATGCTGCCAGTCTGTTTTCATCAGAAATTGCATCAAGTCAGAAGCTTGCACACAAGCTTAGGGGGGAGAGACTTTCTCAGTGAGTCCCAGGAACAGCTTTAATGTAAAGCTTGTGGAAGGGCCAGGGCACAAGTGACCGCATCCTCTGCTCCTGTACCATTTTCTGGGATACTTATACACGATACTGTCATTGTTAATGCCAGGCTTACCCTTGCAGTTAGTGGAAGGAAGGAATTTTGTGGTTATGCTTGTGGGCCATTACTGGTTAAAAGTGATCATAGTTACAGGTCCCTATTATACCTGTATGTCTCTTGACTGAAAGCAGTGTAAAATGCATAGCTAATTCACAAAGTTTCTAATATCCAATTTCTTGCATACTAATCTCTAATCAGCCTCTCAGTTCATACATACTGCTCCTGCTCCAAGTAGATCAGGTCCTGGGAAGACTGAGCAGAGCAGTGGGGCTGGACCTCATGATCTATCTCACAAGGTCCCTTCCAGCCCTAAACTTCTGTGAATCTGTGAAGTCATTGTACAACCCTAGTCTTTCCCTCCTAACCTGACTGATTTGTGCTAAGACTTTGTCATGCCTTCCTAGGGTTCTCCAGTAGGTTATCATCCTAGTGTCCCATTTGATGATTAAGTATGTTTACACATTCATGTCCTGGATAACTATAGGTTTTGACCCGTGAGAGACTTTCTGGGTGACAGTCTCTTCAGAGGCAAATCCCTAGTAAGCACTCCCTACCAGAATTTTAAGGGAGGCAGTCTCTGGTGAGTGATGACTCTGGGTGGTAGTTTGGCTGCTGTTCTTAGGGCAGAGGTTACCAACGGCTGTTTGGATCATATTACAGTGTGCCATATATTGAGCAATGGAGATAATATGTGATTTATGAAAATCTACAAAGAGGGACGCGTCAAAAACAAATGCTAAACCAAGTCTTCCAAGCCTAAAGTGGTCTGTCTTGTTCTGTTCTGTTACTGCAGTGGTCATCACCTTCCAACTCAGGTGTGGTCAAGTGGTGAAAACCCTTCCAGGGTTAGATGCCTGGTCTAGAAGATTTTTTTTTTTTTTTTCCAATCAAATGGCATCCTCCCTAAAATCCACATTTTATTACTTTGAGTTTGTTTTTAAAACTCAGAGTCTGTCTCCTATAAGTAAGAATTGAGAACTTGTAGTTTGAGGGAAACCTCCTTTCTACAGAGCACAAGTGCCTTTTGGTCAGGAGTGGATGTGGGGGTTCTAGACCCCTCTACTTTTATGATTTCAGATAGGTGTTGGTCAGTTTTTGAAAGTTCAAGGAGAAAACTTGTTTAGTGTCTCACTGGCCCTGATGTATTTGTTTTCGAAGTGTAGCTGTTACTTTGGGTACAGCTTTCAGGTAATGGATCCTTCCCTTTGCTGTCATTGTTATGTGGGCCAAAGCCAAGATCCTTGTGTGACTAAGAAAAAGTCAGGAATCTCGATTCCAGTAAGGCAGAGGTTATGTTTGAGGGCAAGTGGAAAAGCACTTTAAAAACCATAGCTGCCATGGCACTGACATGTCACAGTTCAATGCAAATGATGATGTCCCCTGCTTTGGGGGAGAGCCCCTGTGCTTGGGATTGCCAATTCATTGTTCACTCTGAAGGTGTAGCTCATTCCCTGGAGAAGGAGTTTTTAATGGAAGCAGACATCAGAATGGGATTCTTCTCTGGAAACTAAAGGACCATTGTGACAAAAAATGTAGTTAGAGGTAAAGATTATTGGTTTTGCCCGTGTCCGTGAATGCCCTGCATACTGCGTATTTGTTTTTCCACAAGGAAAAGAGCAAAATAGAAGGTTCATCTACTAGATATTAACTACCTTGTTTAATTTCCCAATTCCAAAAGGAGATGTATATTGATGGGTGCAATATTGCGAGTAAATAAAATCAGTAGAAGGAGAAAGACTATATGTATGTGCTTATATGGAGAAAATCCCTTCTAGTAGTACTTAGTTCAGCGCTAACTTAATATTTGTTCAGTATGTTACTTTCAGTATTGGATTGAAGAGCTGTTTTTATTAGGCCCACAGTCACCTCATTGTTTCCTTTTATGATTTGTTTTTGCAACTGGAATAAGGTGAATAAGATTTTTTTTACTCAGAATTATAGGATGAACATCTGCCTTTGTTCTAACATTCTAGCAATTAGTAACAGCATTTTGTAGTGTCTGTAGTGAAATCCCCTTCTGTATTTCTTCAGTGCTGCTATTCCACATGCCTTTTGAATACTTTGGTTTCTCATGAGAATAATAGTGACTGGAGCTGAGAGAATGCGCATGCTCTCAGTTAACCACATTATGCCTCCCTTGCATCTGTAAAATGGGTATACGGCTTTGACTAAGTCTCATTTTGTGCTTTCAGAACAATACGACGCGTTTGTGAAGTTCACGCATGATCAAATCATGCGACGATATGGAGAACAGCCTGCTAGTTGTGAGTATTCCTGCTTACATTTTACAATAGCATTAAGTCCCTTGAGCATTCAGTAGTAGCTTGACTTCTTTTCACCTCTGTTTCAACAAAAATGGCCTTGAGGTGCAAAAAAGCTTTAAGTTTGTGATGCGGTGGAGCATGCAGGTTAAAATGGAGGCAAGTGGTATAAAATGCAGTACATGTTAGTGTGTGCAAAACCTTGCCAAAATATTGTGCCTCTAGTATCACATGGGTTTTTAAATCTCAGGTTTAATTTAAAGTGTTTTTTTAGCTATTAGTATCTTAACTAAATCAGATCTAATAATAGGAATTGGAGAACTACTCACTAATGGCTTCTTTTTCTGCTCTTTTCAGATGTTTCATGAATCATGTTTTCTGCATACGTGGGCTGCCCTATCCACCCCATTTAATTGCTGTAAGCTGTCCCAGTAAAAACTTGCAGCAATGCCATATTTCCCCCATCCCCACCCCACCCCCTGTGAACACAGGTTATTTCAAGCTTTTGTCAGTGGCAACCACTCTTATGCAGCAACTGGTTTTGGAGTGCTCCCTGATGTCAGTACCACCTGGATGTGGACCTTTGCTACCTGTAATAATACCAGTGGCCTCATTTGCTGTATCATTAAAATTTGGCTTCTTATGTTAATAAGTTTGAAAAAGTAAAGGATTAAAGCTGGTGTTCTAGAACTTGCCCTTCACTGGTTGTGTAAATAAAAATGTAGAATGACACTTCTGACTGAAGTTAGTGTGGTTTTCATAACTGTGCACTACAACCAAGCTGTAATCACAGTTAAATTAGAATGTAATCCCAGGACAATTTTAAGCAAATAGCCCACAGTACTGCCTGTGAAATAGTGAAGGAGGGCATTTCTGTATTCCATGACTTTTTTGGGGGTTAAGAATGGGTTTATATGATTTCTCATTTTTGTAGTTTTTATTTATTCTATCCGTCTTTAACAAATGTTTATTGCTGCAATTTTTCAGTGTATCATTGTTTTACTGCCCTTGTAGTACTGGAATTTAGTTGGATGAATAAAACATTTACTTCTAATCTCTTTGTTTTTAATATGCAGATGGCACTTTTGCTGTTTAAGAATAAACTTAATCTGAGTGTTTAAATGAAAACTTCATTTACTAGTAGTTTGGGGGCTTGGAGAGGCTGGAAGTTGTTAGTTTAGGGGGGAGAGATGACTGGGAATCTAGAATGATTTTGTAGAGGTTTAAAAAATTCTCTCTTTCTCAAGTATGATCCACCCTGTGAAGAAACATGATTAACTGATTGCTACCTAGTGGTTCAACACATTGTGGCCAGCTCACCAAGCCAGAGGTTGGCACCTGTGGTCCACAAAACCTCAGGTCTGGTCTGTGGGTTGCAGCAGCAGGGTCCTAGCATCCACCTGTCTCTGACCTGTGTAGGTCCTTGTGGCCCACAGATGGAAAAGGTTGCTTAGTACTCTGCTAAGGAAACTGTTTTTCCTCACTCTTGGGTTTCAGGAGCATAAAACAGACCGACCTATTTCTCAACCCAGAATCATGTCCGGGCTCTCAGAACTAATGGGATAAGCCCTTGGTACCTGAACAAACTGCTCCTGGGTACGTTCTAAGCAGGCCCTGTGCAGCTACATTTGCACAGAAATTTTAAAATGTAATGCATGTTGTGATCGCAAACAAAACAGATGTTCAGTGTCATTTTGATTGATCAGCTGTTGTTTCTGCATGCACAACATAATTAGCTGAAAAGTTACTCCATGGCCAGAGTAGCTGTGTAGTATATAAGTTACTCAGTAAGTAGCTTGAACTCCCAGAAGCAAATCCTATTTCAACACTTGCTTTGTGTTTTTAAGTTGTGGTCTTGCATAGAATTCTTGCACTGCGTTTAGTTTGATAACAACCAGTAACACAAGTATTGACATGATCCCCACTGTTAAGACAAGGCTTTGATCTTATCCACTTTCCATGTAAAGATTGAGCTATAAATGCAGATTCTCAAAAATTCAAAATAGCAGGATGCAAATCAGTAGGTGCTGCTGCTGCAGCTTGACAAACTGCTTTTACTGATGTGCCTTAACTCCCATTTTTGGAAAGCATTTTTTTTTCAGAACTTTGTAAGCCTTCCTTTAGTGCAATGGGTTTTTTTTACACATGCTGGCGTGGGGAGACATGGACACTTCAGTTAGAGTGGCTCTCAGGAGCTGCTGTAATTAAAATGCATGCAGCATCTTGTGCATGTCAGTGTCCTTATGTTTCAAAATGGCAACATGGATGCTTTAGTTAAAGTGCCCCTGCCACCATTTTGAAACACAGGGATACTTAAATACATAAGAAGCTGGAGCATTCTCATTGAGTCTGCTCCTCTGTGTTGTAATTAGAATGCACTAGAGCACATATATGGTGCTCATGGTGACCTCTCACAAATACTAGAGTCAAGGAAGAAAAGGCTTTGCCTGTTCTGATTTTATGCAATGGCCACACAAATTAATACACCTACCCATATGCTTGACTTAAGGAATTTGGGAAAGGAAACGTCTCCCTTTTGTAGGCAACAGGGAAAGAACAAAGACTCACTTTTCTCAAAATTCAAAGTGGGGAAATAGGAATATCATGCCTGGTGAGAGTGAGTTAGTTCCCTTACTCAAGTGTGCTGCTTACTTAAAGTGGAAGTGTAGCTAGACACCAGCATCCTTATACATTTGGTTCTTTGGTTTCCAGAACCCTGCCCTTAACCAGATAGCAAATGATATCAGGTGCATTAACTAGCACAGCCTCCCTGTCTATCTTGTGATCTGAGTTTGGTGTTAAGCTCAGAAATGCTCATTCTAATGATTTTTATTTTTTCCCTATATCTCATTTAACCTTTTAGAAGAGGGTCGCCTTTGTGGCATGTGCTGCCAGAGGCTGTGGGCTAGGTGTTGTGAACCTCTTCCTGTCTAGTCTCAGTATTACCCTCAAGGAACAGTTCAAGCATACAGTTCTCTTTATTTAAAAGAAAAAGGGTATAAAGGGAAGGCTGCTAAAAGTAGGGAACAATACAGTGGCTGTGTGTGGATTCTTTTGGCTCCCCAGGAGTTGATAATGCTGCTTGAGTCCCATTGTAAATCCCTTTTAGTGCAAAGTGTTTTGTTTTCCACTTTTGGATGTGTTGGGGGCAACAGCCTTGAACAGCCATGCTTACTAAGTGTTCCAGTTAAGTGGTGTGTTGAAGTTTCCTGCAGTTGGACTGTTGAATTTTCAATCCTTACTTAGAGTGACTATGCTACCATTATACTTCTGGATATATATATTTTTTGCCATTTTATATAAAACTGTACTTTGCAGTCCAAAAGCAAAATTCAGTTGGAAGTGGCTACCAGCTGTTTCAGGCAAAGCCACTATGGAGCTGGGTTAACTTACTTTCACACAATCCATTTGTCCATGTTTCTGAGTAGTTGTCTCTTTGCATTTGTTTCTTCCTAAGCAAAACTGCTTTCTGCCAAAGAAAAGAATGAGGTGACAGATGTTATTCCCAAACCTGAGCGTAGCTTGGTATGGAGAGGGATAGGATGAGATGCTTGTGTTTGCTAGTATCTTGCAGGGCTGGCATTTAGTGTATTATGGATGGTGACGAAGGGCAAGCAGCCTGCCTATTCTGATGTATATGTAAACACCCCCCTCTGTCTCTGAAGAAAAGCAATGGATGCTGCTGACCAATATGGACTTTTGAAGGGCCAATAATACTTTAGGGTTTCAGCAGGAGGGGAGGTAATTAGTGGTACATAATTTCAGTGAAAGCAGAATGCTGTAACTTAAGTTAGGTTTTCCTCTCCACTGTTCATATGGGAAGCAGTTTGACTACATGCTACTTTAACAAGTATGCTGCTGCATACATCCTCCTGAATCAGCTAGCCCAGGTGGAGGGCTGCTTACTAAGTTTTGGCAAGCCATTGAGGGCCACATGACAGGCAACTAGGGGCAGATAAATATTAATTTTCTAAATTTTTAGGGGCCCTGTGGGCTGGATAAAATGGCCTAGCAGGTCACATTTTGCCCACCCCAGCTAGCCAG